CACGGGCCCAGCCACTCCGCGGCATGTGGGATCTTCCTGGACCGGGGCACGAACCCGTGTCCCCTGCATCGGCAGGCAGACTCTCAACCACTGCACCACCAGGGAAACCCAAGACCTGGTTTTAATGGATAGTAGAGAGAGGGTTTGAAGCTAAGTCTAAACTACCAGATTGTAAAGACTATATTTTATCCAAAAATCTACATGCTGAGGAACTCTGAAGGGCATAATTTAAACCATAGATAAATGTCTTAATCACTACTTAGAAAGTTTAAAACAATATAAGCATGCAATTTTTTAAAGCAAATACCTGGTTTGCCTATTATAAAAATGTCTAAATTGACTAAGTTCATCATCATCATAATATGTAAAGCAAACCTACCTGGTTCATAGTACAGCATCTCAAAACACAGAAATGTGGATGCAAAAGAAAATAATTTTCTGGGGCTTGGGGATAGCCCTTTCAAGACTTTAAAGTGTGAAGCACTTGACTGTTAATAACAAGTATATGGGAAGAAATCTTAACCACAACACAAAAGTCACATTTTCACAAATTCTCAAAACAGCAGAATATTATTCTTTCACATCTCAGACTTTTTCTTTTTGGAATAAAAATAAGTAGAAGATTTTGAATTTTGATAACTATAATTTATGTTTTCTTTGATAATGCACAAATGTTTATAAGAGATGAACTGATTCTAAATAACTGATCCTAATTAAAATGGAATCTTAACCCAGGTTCTAGAAATTACCCTTTTTATATTAAGTTCATTTAATTCCGTCTTTCCCTTCCTCACTTATGCCCTCTTCCACCAACTTGATAGGACCATCTAACCCTTCCATCCAAACTCTACATAAACAATCATAGTTCTCTTGGGAATTTAAAGTTACAATTAAAAGACTTAGATACAGATTGTGTTATATTAATAATTCCAACTATATGATTCTAATAATCACAGAAGAGAAAGTATTTTATTCTGTTTATATTTTATTCCCTTAAGTCAAGTGTATATTCTGAACACAGAAGAGAAAAGACAAAATGTGAATGCAGCAAAACAAATATCTTAGGAGTTGGGTCTAAAGTTAGTGGGGAAATGCCATTTTTATAGTCTCTATAAGGTACAATATACTTTGTCAAGACACCTAAAAGTAACCTGGCTCTTTTAGGCATACCAATAACTCTGTTCACATTAAGTAATTATAGGGTAAAAACTAAAAAGCAAGACAATATTAAAGCATATAAAATAGTATGTATGCATCATGAACTTAGTTTGGAATTCTCTGTGTTTCATAAAAAGTGGGAAGGTCAAAAGAAAAAAAAGGTGGAGGTGTAAGAACTGAAAGAACTTCACATTAGAAAAAGACGTGAGCTGCAATTATCTTCCTATGCCCTATTTAGAAAACAACTGGAAGCCACCTCTCAGTGTTAAAAAAGGTATTTATTGACTACATTTTTTGTCTTTCCATTAATTAGTTCTGCTTCAGAACTTATTCATTAAACACCTTAACACTTTTGACACACGAAAGAATTAGGTACCTACCAAGAGACCGTTCAGAGGCAAGGATCCAAAAGAATGCACTGCACCTGGTTTTTGGATTTAGAGATTTTTTAATTAATTTTAAAACGACTTCAGTTTTCTACCTTTCAACTGGCAAATAAATCAGTGTAAGAGAGAGCAAGGCCTATTTATCAGACCAATTTAAAACAAATTCTCATTTTTTTGAGGTACACTGAGATGGGGGAGAGGATGCTGTTTCTGTCTGACCCTTATAAGGGTCATGATGAAAAAGGACACATTTCAATGCTAAAAGACACAATTCAAAATGAAGATATAATAGTTATGAATATTTGTACACCAAATAACACAGCAACAACCGCTATAAGGCACAAACTACAGGAGATACAAAGAGACATAGACAAAACACCTTAATAATAAAATACTTTACCATGTCACTCTCAGTCCAAAAATAGATCAAAAGGAAAAAAAAAAAGTAAAGATATTGAAGACCTAATCAACTTACTCAGTAAGGTAGAAAACCTAAGGCTATATGTCAAACTTCACATGCTGATAATTTTTGCAACTTTTCATTAAGTTTGTAATTAGGCTAGCAAAAAATGAGAAGGTAAGAAGAAAAAATAGTAGAAAAAGAATGAACAGTCACAAAGTGTCAGAAGTGATGCTGATGAGTTACTATTTTCCCCTCTCCCTTTCCTAAAACATTGTTAAAGCATCTTAAGTGTTAAACAAAAAAACAAAAAACCTTTTTAATTGTAAAGGAAAGTATTTTTGATTTAGAAAAATCTGAAAACATGTGTCCCCAATGGAAACCACACTGAGAAGTCACACAACGGAGCTGGTGTGACGACTGATCTACAAGTCAAGAAGCTGGTTCGTTAAGGAAGGCCCTTCTGGCAGGTTCCATGCCCCTCAGGTGAAGCACAGGTGGCAGCAGGCACCGGACTTCAGCTGCCTCATGGGTGGAACCTGTAAACCATATGAGCACAAGGGTGTATCTAGACCATGGCAGACACACCACTGCATGTGGTGCAGTCGTCTCTCGTGTATGACATCACACTCCATCTCCTGCAGAAAGTCACCATGAGTCCATACTTCTAGTCCACAGTCTCCTCAGATTGCCTTCCTATAAAGCCAGATTAGCGGAAGGTGCAACACCAAGGCAGAGTTCCCAAAGCTTGTCTCCATGACTATCTCGTCACCAATGACCCAAATCACAGACTCCATGAGGACAGTGTCTTTGCCCAGCACCATGGCACCTATGTGACCCTTTGAGCCCATGCCTCACCACCACCCACTTACCTCCTCTTTGGGAGATCACTTACAGATCAAAAGTTTTTTTTTTTAAATAAAAACCTTCTGACTGCCTTTTAGCTGAACTAATCTTTGTTAGAGGCCCACACAATAAAGAAAGATTGCCAGAGATGTATATATGTAATTTGACTCATTAAACCAAGAGATGAAAAGTCTCTGAAATCTCAAGATTTTTGAGGAGGATAAACAAAAAGCATGCATTCAAAGAAATAAAATATGACAGATATATGATGAGACTGGGCCAATACCCAGGGGCCCTGTGTTCATTTTTACTGTGTCATTGGGCAAAACCAGCTACCATTTTATTTTAAAATGAAAAGAAAATGCATTTTGTCTGTCTCACTGAGCAAATGATTCCAGCTTAGCAGATCCAGCCCAAAGGTACTACACTCAGGGCTTTCTCCATCCATCTTTTTAGAAAAGAATCTACCAAGGTAAAGCTATAATGAAGAAAATGGGGCAAAGCAAACGACAATGAGTGCACAGCCAAGGTAATTTATCATGATGGTACTCACTTTAGTGTAATATATTTTATGTCTGTTCTCCCACCCACCATTGACATGAACATGCAGGAAAAAATACACCTGTTTCGGGCTTGTGTTTTATCCTCTTCTTTAAGCAAACAAGAACGGTTGTAGTGTGTATGTACTCCATTTTACCACAAAGGATTGTTCTGGCAAGATGTACAGTTTTTAATGAAGGATTATATAACTCCTTTATACTCCAAGAAACAAAGCAGAACAAGCACTAAGCAGCATTAAACACACCCAGAGTGCTGACTCTAAGTACTGTATGCATTTTTCTTGCAAAAAAAAATAAAAAGTTTCTAAAAGAAATTTATGCATAAATATAATATTATTTCTCAACAGTTAAGAAAAGGGTTACAAACAATAGTGTTCAGTCATTTGCAACACTGAATCATTTTCTGTAACCCTTACAAATTTTACTGAACAATAAAAATTTTACTTTATTTTCCTATGAAGAGTCATTGTTTCTCAATTCTCAATTCTGTCTTTTTCAAGTAATTGTGTTTTTTGAAATCAGTCCTTTATTTGGGGGCTGGATTTTGCTTTTGCAGTTTCTAAAATACATCAGTCAGTCTTTACTTATGAGAATAAGTGGCATTTAAACTATGGTAGGTTGACCTCAGTAGCTAAAAAATCCAATAGTTTAAAATTGAGCTCATTTTTCATGAGATACAAGCCATGAAAAATGTGATCAAAAGGGAGCTGACATCCTGCAATTCTAACTTATTTTACTTGAAAAAACACAAGAAATGATTCTCCTCTGACCTCTTTATTGCTTCCTTTTTTTTATCTATGTGGACTTCATGCTGCAGTATTTGAGCAGACAATGACCTAAAATATCACTTAGCAATTTTTTTACCAAGATAAAATGTAAAATGGGTTACACTGTCCCCAAACATGTAATTTTTAAAAATTTTGTCACTCACATGTTCTGTCACTGCCTTTTGTCATCAGTGCAACTATCTACCAGGTCTCTGAATTTTAGAACAAATTTATTATTAGCTGAATAACTTCCCTGATTCATAAAGGTAGATGGACAAAACCAGCTTTAAAAACCTAAGTTTACTTGCATTGTGATTATTCCAATATAATGGGTCAAATTCATTTACCTCCTCATCACTTTCAGCTCACTACTTAGGTCCACTGTGAGGAAGCGCAGAGGTTTAGAGTAAGATGATCTGTACTCAAGTCCTAACTCATTTACTAACTAGCTGGGCCAGTCACTAAAGTTTTCTGGGCCTCAATTTATACATCTCTAAAAGGAAATGTCGAACTACACGGGTTCTATTGTCCCTCTGAGACTAACACTCAGGTTACTAAACTGACAATCATTTCACAAGCCATTTTCACACTTACCAACGTGGAGATACAGCCACCTTAGGCTGCGATCACCTCCAGTCTAAAAGGCACTGTCCTATGTTGCCAAAGAAAGTTTAATCAAACCCTCACGCAGCCCATTAAGCTATGACCAATACTGATGTTCTCTGCTGAAACGGAATTACTAGTTTTCACTGAGATTCATCATCTCATTAGTGACCCCATTTCCAAAGTCACCAAGCAAAGGAAATTTCTCTTAAGAAACCTGAAAAGTAAAATCTCTAAAACGGTTACACGTTTGCTACTACGTTAGGAAAGTTCACAGTACCTAAAATAGCCACCACCTCATCATCCTGGATGACTTCCAAGGATCCTGACACCACAAAGCAGAGGGCATCCACACTTTCTCCAGCATGGTAAATGAGGTCCCCAGGAGCACAGTGAATAGTTTGAAACTCTACCGCCAAGGCGCGCAGACACCCGTCGCTGGCCAATCGAAAAGCAGGATGCTCATTAAAAACCTTCCGGTTTAGATGAACACAGATATCAGCTCTCATGTCCTTGGGACAGATGGAGAGGACCTGAAGAAAGTGAGAGATGCATAAGTGAGAAGAAAATAGAGAGGGACTATTTCAGAAATCTAACATACTTATTGACTATGACACAGTCCGCAAAACAGTGTATTGAGGAAAACGGTAACAAGACACAGCTCTGCTCTGAAAGATATAAAAATCCATGGGCTGATGAGCATAGGGGCTATTACAATACAGCACCATGTACTAAAGCTCTGAGGGGGTATGGATCTCACCATTGAGACAACAGAGTCTTAAAATGGCCAGGAAGTGTCTCAGAAAAATATTTAATATAATGTCATCAAAATGCCAACTAAGATAGGTCATTAACATTCATTTTAGTCTCGTTGCTGTTTTAGAATTTTTTCATAACTAAATCAAAATTCAGGATAATGGACTTTTACTACACATTGGAGATGGATTCGTATTAACCAGTTATAAGACAACAAAAGCACCCTTGTGACACGACATGCAATTTGACATGGCTGATATAACTCCACTCTCAATGTGTTTTCTTCACTCTGAAATACGTATTTTCATTTTACTAATGAATTCATGCTCAGGGAGTGGAAAGAATATTCACCAGCCTTCTGTAGGGCTTAGGCAACTGGCAATGTCAATGACGGCAAGGTGGGCACATCATGTTGCATGGCAGCCCTTGCTCATTCGGGTCTTTGACTCCTAAAGACCGCTGAAAGCAACAGCAGAATAAGCTCTAAGTATCCTTTAGAAGAGGGAACAAACGGCAGAAACATGCTTAGAGAGATAGGGGTACAGAACTTTTATTCCCTGTAGCTTTCAGACAGGGCAATTAAAGACCCAGATTAAAATGGACATTATCCTCACATTATCATCAGAGCATCATCAAGCAAGATATGATTACAGAAGTCAGGACTGCCCAATTTAAAGATGCACGTGCAAATTCACATAGAATCCTCTCCCAACTCCCTTGGTAAACTATTCCTTATAATCAGAAATGTTTTTCTTTGATAGAATTAGAATCCCTCAAGCTGAAGTCTAAGTTGATTTTTCCTCATTAAGTTATATTGAATAACGTTTTCATATAAAACTGTTTTCTTCCCTGTACTAATTGCATTTTAAGCTTTAAAAAATTACCTAAGGCTTGGAATATCCCCTGACTTTCCTTTTATTAGGGGTTCACTATCAATGAAAAGGAAATTTCTGTTTGAAATGAAAAGCTGGCTGCTTCCATGTGTAGAAGACGAGCCCACGATAAATGTAAAGACCGTTCATTAAATGATTTCAATATCCCTCCCCTTAACCTCTCCTAGTACTGTAATACTATCTCACATCACTTAAGCATCTTTGTGGATTTTTTCTTACTCCTTTGAATTCCTATATGCAGTACAATCAGCTCACCTATCTTTCTGAAAGAGTTCATCTTTAAGGAAAGGAACACCTAACAGGGATATAGAAGCAATTGGCACTTTCCACATCAGTTATTTTCCATAATAATATAATTTTTTTTTACTATATTAACTTTTAGTGACTTCTGACAATATTAGTCATTCAATAAGCACTTATTGGGCTTCTACTATGGGGCGTGCCACTGCATTAAATTCCTGGAACTAGAAAGATAAATAAGATGCTCTTTGCTTTGGGGGAGGTAACCATGAAGTAGGGGGAGGTAGCCATGAAGTAGGGGGAGGTAGGCATGTAAAGAGACAACTATAATACAGTGAGAAAAGTGCTATGGTAGGGGCATGGCCAAGGTGACATGGAAGCATATGCTGCCTAGAAGTCATTACTTATGACTTAGAGGTACCATAAAAGATCAACCTCAAGAGGACATGGGTCTGGGTGCAAATCTACCACTTATTGCCTCTGTAACCTAAGGCAAGTTACTTAACGACTCTAAACCCCATCTGCGAAATGGGATGATAGTGTTTATTTCATAGGTTCATTGTAGGAATTAAATGAAAGAACTTGAGTTAGCCCAATTTAGTCTTACACATGGCAAAAGTTAAAGAAAGGCTAGTTTTTATTTTCCCTACTGAACATGAGTATTCCTACAAAATTTACTGTTTTTTTTAGTTCTCTAAAGAAGCAGTTTGCTCTTTTTATTTCATTTTCCACTCCTGCCTGAATTCTGTTTCTTGGCTGTTTGATGAGGTTCCAAGCAGAATTAAGAAAGTATTTCAGCATGAGCCTGAATACATTTTAAGCTTTAACTAATGTTAATATTATATTTTCCTCAAGTTGAAAATGAAACTGGTGCTAGAAAGCAAAAAACATAAAAGCAATTTTAAAATACATACACACACGCATAAACATTGCACTGAATAGCTTAATGGGAAAACGGATCAATCTATTTCTATCCCATTTACATTACAGAATTTTCATTGTTTTAGATTCATTTTGGTAATAGTCATTTTATGCCCTTTTAATTATTTCTTTCAAGATTCATGCTGCAAATGAAATCTTCCAATGTTAGCAATATTCTGTTTAGTGGCATATCAAAAGAGGATTTTTATTGCATTTTAAGTGCATCTTTCCGTTTTTTTTCACTTTCCTTAAGACATTGCCTCATTATTTTGATTCAAGGTATATACTAAAGTCCAGACGTCATAGAGTGACAAATTAAAACTAAGTGTTAAATAGACCAAAGTCATCCCTAGTGGCAAGCTCCTTCCCAATCTGTATATAGAGCATGTGCTCTATCACGATGTGTCTGTCATCAAAATATGAGTATAGTGTTATTCTTTCTGTAAATGAAAGCCCTAATAAGTGTCTTAAACAAGGCAAAATTTAGTTTTAAGTGATAGAATAAAGTTATCATGCAAGATGACTCTCACACCTGGTCCATTGGTCCCAGTTTCAATGTACTCTGCATTGAATGTCATATCCAACCTCTCGCTGGTATATTCCCCATTGGATATCTCATAGTTATAAACAAATGAAATTGAATTTCAGTAGAACATATTCAGTTAAAAGTGACCTCTTTTATTTGACTCCCAAGTTGATTATTTATCCCCTCTTCATGTCAGGATAGAAATAAATCAAAGTAGACGCTTAATTAAGACAATAAGTTTTCTCTTTGGAAGAGCTATGGCTGTATATAAGGGATCGTTTTTAGAATTCTGCAAACCAAGTGTGAAAAAAAGGAAGAATGCCATGGTCTGAAAAAGAAAAATTCTTGCGTATTTATGATGCCAGTTTCATTAAACCCAAGATCAAGAGGTATCATAATAGATACCCCTTAGGCTCCAAAGATCTAACCTCAACACTGACACTAGATCCTGATCTTAGAGGAAATGCTTTCAGTTTTTCACCATTGAGAATGATGTTTGCTGTGGGTTGTTGTATATGACCTTTATTATGTTGAGGTAGGTTCCCTCTATGCCCACTTTCTGGAGTGTTTTTATCATAAATGGGTGTTGAATTTTGTCAAAAGCTTTTTCTGCATCTATTGAGATGATCATATGGTCTTTATTTTTCAGTTTGTTAATGTAGTGTATCACACTGATTGATTTACATATATTGAAGAATCACCACATCCCTGGGATGAATCCCACTTGATCATGGTGTATGATCCTTTTAATGTGTTGTTGGATTCGGTTTGCTAATATTTTGTTGAGAATTTTTGTGTCTATGTTCATCAGTGATATTGTCCTATAATTTTCTTTTTTTGTGAGATCTTTGTCTGGTTTCATAGAATAAGCTTGGGAGTGTTCCTTCCTCTGAAATTTTTTGGAAGAGTTTCAGAAGGATAGGTGTTAACTCTTCTCTAAATGTTTGATAGAATTAGCTGTGAAGCCATGTAGTCCTGGACTTTTGTTTGTTGGAATTTTTTTTTTTTTTTTTTTTTTTTTGCGGTACACGGGCCTCTCACTGTCATGGCCTCTCCCGTTGCGGAGCACAGGCTCCAGATGCACAGGCTCAGCGGCCATGGCTCATGGGCCCAGCCGCTCCACAGCACGTGGGATCTTCCCGGACCGGGGCACGAACCCGTGTTCCCTGCATCGGCAGGCGGACTCTCAACCACTACGCCACCAGGGAAGTCCTGTTGGAATTTTTTAACCACAGTTTCAATTTCAGTACTTGTGATTGGTCTGTTCATATTTTCTTTTTCTTCCTGGTTCAGTCTTGGAAGGTTGTACCTTTCTAAGAATTTGTGCATTTACTCTAGGTTGTCCATTTTATTGGAATATAGTTGTTTGTAGTAATCTCTTATGATCCTTTATATTTCCGTGGTGTCAGTTGTAACTTCTCCCTTTTCATTTCTGATTTTACTGATTTGAGTCCTCTCCCTTTTTTTCTTGAGGCATATGGCTAAAGGTTTATCAATTTTGCTTATTTTCTCAAAGAACCAGCTTTTGGTTTCATTGATCTTTGCTACTGCTTTCTTTGTCTCTATTTCATTTATTTCTGCTCTAATCTTTATTATTTCTTTCCATCTACTAAATTTAGGTTTTGTTTGTTCTTCTTTTCCCAGTTGCTTTAAGTGTAAGGTTAAGTTGTTTGAGATTTTTCCTGTTTCCTGAGGTAAGATTGTATTGCTATAAACTTCCCTCTTAGAGATGCTTTTGCTGCGTCCCACAGGTTTTGGATTGTCATGTTCTCATTGTTGCTTGTCTCTAGGTGTTTTTTGATTTCGTTTTTGATTTCTTCAGTGATCCATTGGTTGTTTAGTAACATACTGTTTAGCCTCCATGTGTTTGTGTTTTTCACAGTTTTTTTCTTCCTGTAACTGATTTCTAATCTCATAGTTTTGTGGTCAGAAAAGATGCTTGATATGATTTCAATTTTCTTAAATTTACCGAGGCTTGATTTGTGGCCCAAGATGTGATCTATCCTGGCGAATGCTCCCTGTGCACTTGAGAAGAAAATGTATTCTGCTGCTTTTAGATGGAATGTCCTATAGATATCAATTAAGTCTATCTGGTCTAATGTGTCATTTAAGGCTTGTGCTTCCCTATTAATTTCCTGTCTGGATGATCTGCCCATTGGTCTAAGTGGGTTTTAAAGTCCCACACTCTTTATTGTGT